TCCACTAAATCCTACCTTAAATGATTATTTGTACAGATATAAATAAAAAATAAAATAAAATTCCTTTCTTTCTTTGATAGTACAGGAATTAACGTTGCAGCTATTGCATAAATTACATAACCCATTTACGCGGGTTATGCATATTTTCTGCAGTAGCTGCAACACTTATTCCCGTACTAGCAACCAAAGAAAGCATTTTATTGTTTAAACAAAGTGACACAATCACTGATACTGTTCGCGGTTCCAATACTGTCGCTGGAGACAATAGCTTTATTTTACACACCAGCTTAAAATTAGATATTTCTTTTTGATCATTAATACAATAGTAAAACGACTTTTAGTTACTTTTTAGCTCACCTGAGCTGAAAGCTCAAGTGAGCTTTTCTGATCACCCATTGTCCGTCGTCCGTCCGTCTGTCCGTCCGTCCGTCTGTCCGTCCGTCTGTAAACTTTTCACATTTTCAACTTCTTCTCAAGAACCACTGGGCCAATTTTAACCAAACTTGATACAAAGTATCCTTGGGTGAAGGGGAGTGTAAATTGTTAAAATAAAGGGCCAAGTCCCCTTATAAGGGGAGATAATCAAGAAAATACAAAAATAGGGTGGGGTCATTAAAAAAATCTTCTTCTCAAGAACCACTTGGCCAGAAAAGCTGAAACTTATGTGGAAGCATCCTGGGATAGTGTAGATTCTAAATTGTTAAAATCATGACCCCCGGGGGAAGGGCGGGGCCACAATAGGGAATCCAAGTTTTACATTGAAATATATAGGAAAAATCTTAAAAAATCTTCTTCTCAAGAACCACTGGGCCAGAAAAGTTGAAACTTATATGGAAGCATCCTGGGGTAGTGTAGATTCTAAATTGTTCAAATCATGACCCCCAGGGGTAGGGCGGGGCCACAATAGGGAATCCAAGTTTTACATTGAAATATGTAGGAAATTTTTTTTTAAAAATCTTCTTCTCAAGAACCACTGGGCCAGAAAAGCTGAAACTTAAGTGGAAGCATCCTGGGGTAGTGCAGATTCTAAATTGTTCAAATCATGACCCCCGGGGGTAGGGCGGGGCCACAATAGGGAATCCAAGTCTTATATTGAAATATATAGGAAAAATCTTTAAAAATCTTCTTCTCAAGAACCACTGAGCCAGAAAAGCTGAAACTTATATGAAAGCATCCTGGGGTAGTGTAGATTCTAAATTGTTAAAATCATTACCCCCGGGGGTAGGGCGGGGCCACAATAGGGAATCCAAGTTTTACATTGAAATATATAGGAAAAATCTTAAAAAATCTTATTCTCAAGAACCACTGGGCCAGAAAAACTGAAACTTATATGGAAGCATCGTGGGGTAGTGTAGATTCTAAATTGTTAAAATCATTACCCCCGGGGGTAGGGCGGGGCCACAATAGATATATTAAAAGGGGGAAATCTGGTAAAGAACAGCATGGCCAAAGTTACTCAGGTGAGCGATGTGGCCCATGGGCCTCTTGTTTTTAATCTTCTGCTTCGCATGTTTGTTTTTATGCTTCGTTCTTATTTGCCCAAATAATAGCTGGTATCTACTGATAGAATGGGAATTCCGTATATTAACGTACTAAGAATTAAATTTGTTGACTTTTTGGGGTTTCAGAGTCATGTGACATTTAAAAATATCCTTTAACATGAAATCCCTATTGTAAATATATGGAGCTATTATCTTCATACAAAAGTATCTGATTATGTGCATTGATTTAAAAAACAATAAAAAGGTGTGTGTATGTGTGTGAGAAAGAGATAGAGATAGAGAGATTTGTCTATAGTTACTAATATAAACTTAGTAGTACAACAAGATGTGTTTGGGAAACACTGATGCCCCCTATGGCAACTTATAGCAAAGGTTAAACTTTCTCAAATGCAAATCAAATATGTTGGTACCCACAGTAAGGTCTTGTCTCAAGAAATATACCTGTGAAATATAAAAGCTCTAGCAGCATTCATTGAATAGATATGGAAAAGGTTAAAGTTTTTTAAAAGTAAGCCAAACATCAAGGTCAAGGTCAAATGGTCAAAATTAATGGTGTCCAAGGAAAGGTTTTCTCCCAAATAATACATATGTGAAATAAGAAAAGCCGTATCGCCAATCGTTCAAAAGTTATGGCCAAGGTTACAGTTTTTCAAAAGTAGGTCAAACTCCAAGGTCAAGGTAATGGAATACAATTGTTGGTATCCAAAGGAAGGTCTTGTCACAAGGAATAGACATGTTAAATTTGAAAACCCTAGAACCAACTGTTCAAAAGTTATGCCTAAAGTTTTCCAAAAGTACGTCAAACTCCAAGGTCAAGGTCAAAAGGTCAAAGTTGTTGGTATCCAAAAGAAGGTCTTGTAACATGGATTACATATGTGAAGTATGAAAGCTCTGGCACCAACCGTTCAAAAGGTATGGCCAAGGTTGAAGTTTTTCAGAAGTAGGTGAAACTCCTATGTCATGATCAAAGGTATCCAAAGGAAGGTCTTGTCACAAGAATTATATAAGTGAAGTATGAAAACCCTTCCACCCTCCGTTCAAAAGTTATGGCCAAGGTTACAGTTTTTCAAAAGTATGTCAAACTCTTAGGTCAAGTTCAAAGGGTCAAAGTTGTTGGTATCCAAAGAAAGATCTTGTCACAAGAATCCCACATGTGAAGTATGAAAGCCCTAGCACCAATTGTTCAAAAGATATAGCCAAGATTAAAGTTCGGTAAAATTTTGTAAAACTGAGTCAAACTCCAAGGTCAAGCTCAAAAGGTCAAATATGATGGTACCCTAAGAAAGGTCTTGTCACAAGGAATACACATGTGAAATATGAAAGGCATAGCTCCAACTAATCAAAAGTTATGGGCAAGGTAAAAGTTTTTGCGGACAAATAAACAGACAGACGGACGGACAGGGCAAAAACTATATACCCCCGAATCTTCGATACGGGGGCATAAAAACATCAAGACAAGGTCTTTATATCTCCGAACTGATTCGATACTCAAGAGCATATGTTGGTAGTACGACCAAAGGATGACTACACTTACCAAGCACTTAAGGACATGCGAAATTTGCGACAAAATAAACTTTCAAAACAAGCATTTTTCTTTTCATTGCAAGAATGGTCAACATCCAATCTACAACTTTATGTAATTACGTTTAATAAAAGTGTGTATTTACGAAGTTCGAATCTGTTTTCAAAGGCAGGGATCATCACAATTTCTTGAATCTCCGTACAATAATGAGGACGTCCACTTTTTTACTATGTTTGTCTATTGTTCTACGTTTCACAGTAGTTGTATATTTGCATTAATTATGTTGTGTCAAAAGGAGATTAATAGACAAACATGCGCTCATGGTTAAAAAGAGAAAAAAACTGCTTCTTCTTACATTCGCTCTCTGTGTTGTAACCAAGAATTGTGACATGTTGAATATTATAATTCACCACGTGATTTCTACCTCAGGTAACTTTTGTGAATACTAAACTCCGTCACGTGACTTGTAAGGTAGCATGTTTTGTGCTAACTAGGGCATTGTGTTCGAACAGGTTAAGTCATCTGACATTGATATAAAATCTGCTTTAATTACATTGATGTACTCACATTGTTAATTTCGTTTTGAAACCTTTGTCAGGAGTGTATTTGTGCCATACAGAATGGGAGGGAGATTGGAAAGAGTGATCACGTTCTTTTTTTCAAACATGTCATTGTTATTTATCAAGTTTAATTTTAGACCCATTCTTACAATGTTAGCTCCACCTCTCATGCATATCTAATGTTCAATCAAGGGCAGGTAAGTGTAAATTCACTATATTTGGAAAGCAGTAAGGACAAAAAACACTGAATCATTTTATTATATCACAGTCTAAAATCATTTCAAGATTTAAAATTGGTTCTAAATTGACAGGATTCTTTTACAAACATACAAGAGTGAAATAAGGTTTAGATATAAAAACAACAGAAGCAACCGACAAAGACCCAAAAACAGGCGTTAAGTGCAGTCATCCTTTTAAGCCGAGACAGGCTTCTAACAAATTTTTATTATACTATCTCGTTTAAAATCAACATTTCGCAAAATCTATGGTCATTACAATGATCTTGTTTGAAAATACAACTACCTATCTTTGGACTAAATGTATCTCAACAAATATAAGACCATTGTTTTAAACTATTTTGACTACGGATGACACCGTTTACATGTACTTGATCAATACAAAGGGATCACGGAGGGTGTGACCGATCAACAGGGGATACTTACTCCTCCTAGGCACCTGATATCACCTCTAGTGTTTCAAGAGGACTAATTTTTTTTGTCCTGTTCACCATCATATTCTAGAGTTTGGTCACTGTTCGCTATCTTCACCTTTTTCATTATGCATTTATAAAGACAAGGAAATGATTTTTCTGATAGGCTTTAAAGTACATTGTAAGCAAATCTTATATTTGTCAAACAAAGGATGCATTTTAAGAAAATACCGACTTCTTGTTTCGATTCTGTCTACACTCAAACATCTAATATAAAACCTTTTGAGTTAAATGCCAAAATATACGTGCCTCTTCATGCAACAATTGTCTTTGTTTTCATTACCCCATTACTTTTCCTACACGTAGAGGCGTACTAGGATTATTTTCTCTTTTTGTATGTTTAAATGTTGTGTTACTTTCTGTTTAGTGCCCACATTTCAAATTAGAAGCTTTCCAAAAAAACTTAACTCATTAAATACGAAATTTTCCTTTATGAGAATAATTTTTCAAAAGAAATGTAAATTTTAACTGAAATGCGAACAATATCATCGTACTTTCCAATGCAAAATTTGGAACAAATCGTTTTTTTAACTCGGAAAGTTTGCATTTTGTTCCGCTTCAATGATTTTTGATGGCATTATGGCCTTTTTTATTTTTAAGGGAAACCAGATTACACTTGTCGGTAGGGGACTAGTATTGCTTATGCTATACTCTCAGAATGCTTCTTCCATGTACACTAATTTTTTTTTCATTTTTTTCTGTTTCAGTGCGCCACCTATTTTTCCTATACATGGAGGATGGGGCCATTCTTGTGTACTTTTACACATTACATACAGAATGTATCTATGGTGTGTTCTGTTATGACTCTGACAGTGATGAGTATAGAGAGGTACTGTTTATCTATAGTTTAAAGAAAGATTGCATTCTGTATTCTCTCCGAATCATTGTAGTAAACACGTCTATGACATTAAGCTTTACAGAAGTCAAAAAAAACTTCCACAAATATCATGACTATTTAAATTCGGTATAAGTGAAGGTTCTTAAAAAAAAGATCAACCAGAAAGTAATTTTGTGATTTATTCAATATACTCTGAATAGGGATGAAAGTTAACGAAAGAAGAATGAAAGAACTTACAGCACGAGATGTGGGTGAAAGGCTAGAATCGGTGCGATTTTTTTTTCTTCTAAAAAACAATAATCTCCCTGTTTTAATGATTTTATTAGGTGGAAAGTTAATTACCTCAATTGCGCGTGGGTAGAACCTGTAGATGTTTTAAAACTTTTCTGATCCAAGTTTAAAGCTATATATGGCGCATCTAAGCTAAAAAATAATTAATAAATTGAGTGTAGATAAACATAATATATGTTATTTATGTTCAAATTTAATTTTTCACCCATTTTGATCTTGAATAATCGCATGTTTTTATAGTTATATTGGCTTTAAACTGTCTGTTATTTAAATGCGGAGTCGGTAAATAAATCGGTTATTGTTTTAAATTTCTAATATCTTGAAAACGTGATTGATTTAAATTGTGTAATTTACAGGAAAGTCCTATCTTTATATAAAGAAATAATACAATAGAAAGATCTTTTTAATTTAAGTTAGTCTGAACTTATAAAAAATACGCCATATATGACTTTAATATTGTTCTTTGCTTTTTAATCAGTTTTAGGGAGCGTCGAAATATCTTTAAATTTGTGCACATTTTTTTTCATTTTCTAAGGACAACCTGTTCAATTTTCAAACTCGAGCTCGTCACAAAGCTTTAAGTAAAGAGAATTCATGAGTCTTATTCTACTTACAAACTACCAAAACGCCAACAATTTTGTATTTGTTAAAAAAAATATTTTGTAAATTAACTGCCCTACAGTTTTGGTGGGTTTTTTTTTTGGTGAAGTAATTATATTTCCAGAGTTATTTAGGAAGACATAAGGACCACTTCTGTTGCTCTGTACGAGTCAAAATTGTAAAGTTGCCACATGATATGCTCTATCTTAAGAACCCCCCCAAACACCAGTTATAATCAAGCTGCTGCATTTAATGTGAGAGATCACAATGTGGGGTTAAAAGTATTACAGAGGAATTATTAGTTTGTTAATAGACTGCATGGTGATAGTGCTAAATGGGGGATAAATTAGAATTTAATGTTTGAGTTGTTACTGAATACTAGACTAATTATTTCATTGATTCTGATCATCCTATTTCTCTTGCTTTTGGGCAACAAAGCTTCATCTGTCAGTTTATTTTATACTCTATGGATCTTCTAAATTGTTGTATTATACTCAGGTGACCGTTAAGGCCCTTGGGCCTCTTGTTCTAAAGAACAGTATGATCTAATTTAACAAACTAGAATTCCTAGATTATAGAAACACAGTCCGTAGATAAATGATTTAGAGTCGTCTCTGCGCTGAGGTTTCAGTACAACTGGTGTAGTAATACATGTATAACTAATTTTTGTCTGCACAATAATCGACCTTTATGATCACTCAAAATGAAATTTATTTTTTATGACCAATTTTTTTTCATGAATTTGTACTTTTGCATGAATGTGCTCTTTCAGTGTAATCAATACCTGACATAATTTCGAAAGTCGTTTAATATAGTTTTGCTTCAAAAGGAAGTTACATTTAATAAAATTACTCAGGATATTTTGGGACACATTTAACAAGCTAGTAATGCATTAGATTATTTAAAACTGTTTTTTTTTCCCATGTAGATTATATCTATAAGGAGTAGAGTAGTGCAAAAAATATACAACACGCGAAACTTTATCAGATATTTTCAAGGGATTGGTTTATGCGGATAAAAGTAAAATTATTAATCTCAATATGGTCAATTTATCCAGTTGCACAATTCTTCTTGGATATGAGCCTTATGAACATTTACTACTGCCCCCTTTGAAATCTATAAACTGTTTGCTGCATGTTGTTAATGCGTGTTGATTCGCTTTGAAGAATGTACTCTGTATTAATTAATTTTGCACTCAGCAAAATTTCTCAAACTCTTCTGATTTTAAGTTAGAAAGTAATACAGTAATGATCTATGATTTTTAATATGAAGTTTTGTATTTTATTTTTATGTGTGCATATTGTTTTTCAATTTTTAATACCAGAATTTCAATGTTTTCCATTCATTATTGTTTTGCTATGTGTACCCAAACTTCATCACTCCCCTAAACTTTGGAATCAAAGCGATACTGAAAATTATTTTCATTGCATAAGATGATTTTAATAAATCATTCTTAACTGCATTTGAACTTGTAGAATTTCTGCACAATACAAGTATAATTCAATGCATTTTTATCCAAATATTTATGGAAATCTGTGTTTATTCTAATTATTTAAAATTAATAGTTTTATATTTTTATGTTATCACTTACAGGTATGTTGCCATTGTTTATCCATTACGAGCCCGATCACTGTGCACGGTACGCCACGCCAAATTCGTCATAGGAGCGGTTTGGATCCTCTCCTTTATCTATACCGTGCCAGTTATCTTCATCCAGGCAAGCTGAAATTTTGGTTTATTTTATATAATTTTTTTTAAATAAATTCCGAGGATTTTGTCTAAACGATATGAAGAAAATATTAAAATTTCACGTAAGAGTGCATATTCCGAATTGTAAAGAAATCGACTTTCTGTGTGCAATTTTTATCTTATCTAGCTGTCTTTTGTTAGAAACAAGGCAGCACATAGTAACAAAAATTTATAGAAATTAGATTGGCTTGATATACATAGGTTTGCGGGCGTTATAATTACATTTAGGGCAGTTTGGATAAAAAAGGTCCTCTCTTCCTCAATTTATTCATTTACCAATCCACTATCAGTATGCGATTAAAGCTTTAAATGTACTGTACAACCATTATGTCTGTCTCGTTTCTTACATCAGTAATAGATCTTCCAGAATGTCAATATCCTACCTAATTAGATTTTAAACCCCCTCCCCCACAACAGAATCCTTTAATTTGACTTGTGTTCACAAAGACGTCTGTTTTCTAATTGTGAAGTAAAAATGTGTCTCAACGAATTAATAGTACACGGCCTGTATTTAATGCAAGAAACAGTATTTACAAAAAAAAAAAATAATAATAATAAATAAATAAATAAATAAATAAATAAATAAATAAAAAGATTTTTAAAAAAGGGGGCGTTAATTCAGATTTGTAAGTTTTCAATTTGCAAAGAGGTAAATTCAAAGTTCAACATGACAAAATTCTTTTGATCAGTCTTTCCAGTCGTTAAAGATGCAAATATTTGATTTTCAATTTTTTCAGGACCTGCATGAAGTTGGTAGACGAGTCAAGGCCTACTGGTGCATGAAAAAGTTTTCACAACCAGAATACAGTCTTCTGTTTGAAATCTACATGTTTTTAATTTTGTTCATTGTTCCGATGACTATAATGGTATTCACGTACAGTCGCATATCGTACGAGATTTGGAATGTGACAGCGAGGCGAGCTGCACTGTCTGGAGGAAGGTTTGTGCCATTTAAAATTGAAAACATGAATTTTGTACCTGAGAAATATATACTTTTTTTATTTACAAACATGTGGAAACAATTTTGAGAATTTTCACGACAGTTTGAAATTTTGTCAGATCCAACGAAGTTGTTAAAGTAAAGAACAGCACGGGTGTTTGTGGACAGGACCCCCCCCCCCCCCCCCCCCCCCCGAATATACATCCTGGATTTTAAGGATATTTAAGGATATTTTTATTTATCTTTTTCCATAAATTAATCTTCTCGCACACATTTAAAATGTATTCCATATGGAAAATTCAAAAAATAACGTAGAATTAACGTTTTATTTAAAATCATACTCGCGGTATTTTAAAAAAGAGGTCTCGCAATAGTATTTAACAAATTGAATGTACATTCAAACTCTTATTTTTGAAAAAAGTCACTGTCTTCTTTTTTCTCCAACCATATCTAAAAATTCCGTGACCTTTGAATCAATAAAAAAAAATCAACGTTTATTGAACATATTTTTTCGAATTTCAACATACTTGAATACTGCACATGATATTGGATATGATTTGATCAAAGTTACGAAATCAATGCTTAGAGTTGTAATAAAATGTTGCACAGCGACCTGCCTCTTAAATATGACGATTCAAGATCATGAACATCCTTTAAAGTTATGGGTCGTAGACAACTAAATATTAAGTTTACGGCGGGTACGATCGGTCGAGAGGGATACTTACTCTTCCATGGCACCTGATACCACCTCTGATGTTTTTTAGTGCAGTGTTTGCTCTGCTATCGATTTGTATTGTTTCAAAGGACTTTTGAGCTTGATTACTCTTCATTTTAAGAACTCTCTATTTATAAACTGCACACTAAAGAGTTCTGTGGTATGTTTATGCAATTAGAGTAATCTGTCCTTTTATATAAAACAGAAATCATTGAAATCTGCAGTGTATTACTCAATTTGTTATAAATTCGAGCATTCTTAACATTTTGAATGACAAAGATAAATCAATTGAACACTTTATTTCCATGTATTTTCCTCATTACATAAACAACAGTGATTTCTCTTCATCAATAAGCTATTTTACCTTGGGGAAATGCCACACACCCTATGTTCAAAATTACATCGATCAATCAATACTTTTACCTCCACAATATGATTTTCCCTATTTCCAAAAAAATATTTTCCTTTAGGGTATAGAGGGGTCCTTAAACATTCTATAAGCCAGTGACCTTGACCTTAATATGCCCATAAGTCGGGATCGTCACAGGGTTTTAAGGCATTGGCAATATATAGTGAAAATTGAATTCATTCCAGTTACAGGTTCTACCGATAAAGATGAGACACAATTAAAAAAATCATTGTCCTGTGACTTTGGCCTATTCTCCTGTGGCTTTGACCTTTGAGAAATTATGACTTTGAATCATAAATATGCTATGTCTTAAGTTACATGTATAGGTGAAAAAAGCATACTAAGTTTTACTTTAGATTCGATCTAATCTGGGGTTACAAAGATATAACCCAGGAAAGACAGACAGATCTGGACGGACATGCAGAGAATCCAACAAAGCGACATTTGCAGAGACAAAATCAACTTTTAATAAGATTTTTTGAATGGATTTATCCTTTGAATTTGAAGGGTATTTGTTAAACCTTTTGTGTTTAACCATCACTTTCAGACACAGAGAGGAAGTGAGCCTAAGATCAAATCAGGGAAAGGAAATTGGTTCCTCTCGAAGATTACCTGGACGACATGTCAAAAGTAACTCGATCATAATTTCTGAGGACGCAAATACAAGGAAACAGGTACTTACGCAATACCCCATGCAGAGTTGCCGTTCGTTCCTCTCTGAAACACCCCTGCAATGAGCTCGCGTCAAGATTTTTGACATAAAGCAAACAACATTATATTCCAAGAATTATTTCAAATTAAACTAATCGTTCTATATCCATTTAGTAAATATCTACGTGAAAGGACAAATATTAGTGTAGGCATTTAATTATAACGAATTGAAACAGTTGCACTATATTCCTCGTGCTTATCTCTGTGATATACGCAAGCCAGCGACAGAGGTGAATGTATGAGCCAATGACAGAGAGTGATACTTACGTTGAAATTATAAATGTACCACTGATTTATGATACAGTAACCATGTTAGCAAACCTGTAAAAAGAGACCTGCTACTTAGATCCCAAATACACCTTGCCATTACTGCATGACCATGATTGCATCTTTAAATCAACATTATACAAATATAGCCCTTTCATAAGGTCGATCCATAGATATATATTGACTTCACAGAAAATCATATCGACCGAGCACGATATTCTTTTCTGTGAAGTCGAAAAATCTTTGGATTGACCGAATGAAAGGGCTACATTTGTTATATTATTTTTCACAGAAATTTACAGAACAAATTTGGAACAAACCAAAAGTTTTCGATCTTGTATTCTTTTTAATACACAGAGACTGGAGATCAAAATAAACTAAGCTGCTTAATATAACTGTGTATCCTTTATACTGATAGAGTAATTTAGGGAATGTACAAATTTAAAAGACTACATTTGTTTCATTGTATCGATTTATGAAAAACATATCTAACATGTTTAAATATTAAGTAGATCCTTATTCAAGACATTGCTACGTCTTACCAATTATAAGTTATAGGAATTGAAGTATAATTTTTTTTTTCAGAAACACCAAGTCATATAAGCTATAAGCTATTGTGAAGTCATCACTATTATTGTTTATAGCAGATTATTTCCATTTTTAGAAACATCAAGTCAATATGCATTTCAGAATCTTTAAATAGTAATACGTCTATATGCTTTTTTACTTGATCATGTGATCAGGTTTGAGCCAATCAGAGAGCTTGGAATAACAGAGAAAAATAATTAAAGTTGTAACTACTACATGTATCAACACACAAAGGATTGAATATTTCTATCAAGGGCTGCAATATTATTGATAATAGGCAAAACATAGTTAAGTTTGACATTGTTCCAATCGAGGGTTTCAGTTTTACAGGCTTGACACTGTTTTAGTATCTCGAGAACCTTGACGTTAGAGAAAATGACTGAGTCGAGATTAAAGCGCGCCTCAAGATCATGTACAAAAACATTCAAAAGAATAGTTCTAATTAAGGATGCTGGGATTATTTATCCTTGACACGATGTTATGAGACAAATATAGACAGCTAAACAGACAGTCAACTCTGCCAAAACCACAAGGATTAATGTCTTCATCGCCGAAGAAGACATAAATATAATTCAATAATTTTGCCTGGTGTTATTTAGCTTGATTACAAGAAAATTAAAGCTGTATTTCGTCGAAATATTTGCTCTGGGGGTTTGTTTCTCGTAAATTACACTTTTGATAATTCTATTGACGTTTTGCCATCAAATTTCTTCACATCTCAATTCTTAATTTCTTTATTGACATGCTGTGAACATCTCACAAAAATGCTACGCTCGTTTGAAATAGAAAATCTTCCTAGTCAAAATGTAATAAAATGCGCGTTACAGAATATCTGTTTTGATGATGCAGTCGGGATCAAAGAATGGGGGAGGAAAAAGAAATAACCATGGAAATTTTATACTTTGATGAACAAGAAAACAAAATCAAATACATTGCTAGGCAGCTATTAAGATATGCTTAATTTTAAAATTCTAAGAATTAAAAAAGAAATTAAAGGGGAAGTATTTTAAAATCTTCTTCTCAAGAACCATTGGACCAGAAAAAATTAATTTGTGTGAAAGGTTCTAAAAGTAGTGCAGATTCTAAATTGTTCAAAACATAACCCCTGATTGTAGGGTGGGAGACCACAATAGGGAATCGAAATTTTAAATTGTAATAGATAGAGAAAATCTTTAAATATATTTCTCTGAAGAACCACTGGACTAGATAGAATGAAACTTAATTGAAAGCATCCTGAGGTAATGCAGATTTGAAGTTGTTCAAATCATATCCCAAGGGGTAGGATTGGGCCACAGTAGGGAATGAAAATTTTACATTGAAATGTATATACGAACAAGAGGTCCAAGGGCCTTAACGGTCACCTGAGTACAATACAACAATTCAGAGGATCCATAAACTGATAAATGAAGCTTTGTTGCCCAACAGCAAGAAAAATAGTATGATTAGCATCAACAAAATAATTGGTCTAGTATCTATCTGCCCCCTCCCCTCCCCCCATTTATCACTATTCCCATGCAGACTATTAACAAAATGTCTATTATTTAACCCCATATTATTCCTTCTCACAATGGCCTCTCTTGGCCTTTGAAGAACATTTAAAAAGATAGGTTATTTTTGTCTCATTTTGCTTCATCTATTATTTCCAAGTCATTAAAACTATGAAAGTACTTCTTTATTATACAATAAATTTTCTTGCATAATTCTCTTATTCTATTAAGCTTTCAAATACATTATGTACATTGATTAATTATCAAAGGTGAATGGCAAAGGGGAATAACTTTGCTCAGTAGAATACAAGTTAATAGAGCCCAGGCCAGGACCAGAAAACTTGACTAAATGGTCCAGGTGTTCAAAATTCTGGTAAAAATACCCTTGCATATTTAAACTTTTACTCTGTTTGCCTTGAACATCCAGAGAAGCATAGAAGCTTTTCAAAGAAATGCATTTTCACCATATTATTAAATAAATAAAGCCCCATCCTTACACCAGAACATCTGACCCATTGGCCACGAACTCACAATTCTGGAAGAAGCACCCTTTCTCATCATAACTATACACTTGTTTCTTTAGCTTATAACCAGTAGTAGATAAAAAATTTTGAAAGAAATTATGCATTTTCACTATATACATGTAATCAATAGAGCTCTCCCCCCCCCCCCCCCCACCAGAACCCCTGACCCAGGGGCCATGAATTTCACAATTTTTGAAGAGGCATTCTTCCTTATCATAACCATGCACTTCCTATGTTTGAAAAATACCTTGGAGCAGAGAAGGAGACTTTGAAAGAATTCATGCCTTTTCCCTATATAATCAATAGAGCCCCGCCATACACCAGAACCCCTGACCCTGGGGCCATGAATTTCACAATTTTTGAAGAGGCATTCTTCCTTATCATAACCATGCACTTCCTATGTTTGAAAAATACCTTGGAGCAGAGAAGGAGACTTTGAAAGAATTCATGCCTTTTCCCTATATAATCAATAGAGCCCCGCCATACACCAGAACCCCTGACCCTGGGGCCAAGAAATTCACAATTTTGGAAGAGGCATTCTTGCTCATCATAACTATGTACTTAGTTACTTTATTTAATACTCAGGAGCAGAGAAGAAGATTTTCAAAGAATTCATGCATTTTCACTATATAATCAATAGAGCCCCGCCCTAACACCAGAACCCCTGACCCTAGGGCCATGAATTTCACAATTTTGGAAGAGGCACTCTTGCTCTTCATAACTATGTACTGAGTTAGTTTATTTAATACCCAGGAGCAGAGAAAAGGATTTTCAAAGAATTACTGCAATTCTACCATATAATCAATAGAGCCCTGCCCTAACACCAGAACCCCTGACCCAGGGGCCATGAAATTCACAATTTTGGAAGAGGCATTCTTGCTCATCATAACTATGTACTAAGTTACTTTATTTAATACCAAGGAGAGAGAAGAAGATTTTCAAAGAATTAATGCATCTTCACTATATAATCAATAAAGCCCCACCCTAACACCAGAACCCCTGACCCAGGGGCCATGAAATTCACAATTTTGGAAGAGGCATTCTTGCTTATCATAACTATGTAATAAGTTACTTTATTTAATACCCAGGAGCAGAGAAGAAGATTTTCAAAGAAATAATGCACTTTCACTATATGATCTATATAGCCCCACCCTAGCACCAGAACCCCTGACCCTGGAGCCATGAATTTCACAATTTTGGTAGAGGGGTCAATGCTTATTACTATGATGCCAACAGTTTGACTGCTTCTTGTCCAGGAGTAAAGAAGAAGATTTTTAAAGATTGCATTATTTTCAGTGGTGTCAGCCCCACCCCTCAGGCCCCAGGGGGGCAGGGACCATGAAATTCACAATTTTTGTTTCCCTTAACCCATAGATGCTATATGCCAAATTTGGTTGAAATTGGTTGAGCGGTTTCAGAGAAGAAGCTAAAAATGTTCAAATGTTAACACACGACGCACAGCGCACGACGCACGCCGACGGACGAGAACAGATAGCAATAGGTCACCTGAGTGACTCAGGTGACCTAAAAATCCTCTTCTACAGAACCAGAAGACGAAAAAAAATGAAACGCAAGTGAAAGTGTCCTGAGATAGTGTAAGATTCAAAATTTTTCAAATCATGGCCCCCGGGTGAAGGGTGGAAATACAATAAGGAAACAAAGTTTTATATTGAAATATATACAGGACAAATCATTTTAAGTCTTTTCTACAGGACCAGAAACAATGAAACTTATGTGAAAGCTTCCTGAGGTAATGTAGATTCTAAATTTTTAAATCATGGACCCCCTAGGTAGGGGCACAATAGGGAATCAAAGTTTTACATGGGATTGTATAAGAAAAAAATTAAAACTCTTCTAAGATCCACTATAAAACCGTTAATTTGCAAAAATTCCACTTTTTAGCTCACCTGAGCTGAAAGCTCAAGTGAGCTTTTCTGATCACATTTTGTCTGTAGTCCGTCTATCTGTCTGTCTGTCCGTCCATCTGTAAACTTTTCACATTTTCGACTTCTTCTCCAGAAGCACTGGGCCAATTTCAACCAAACTTGCCACAAAACATCCTTGGGTGAAGGGGGTTCAAGTTTGTTCAAATGAAGGGCCACGCCCTCTTCCAAGGGGAGATAATTAAGAATTGGTGAAAATTTGGTGTCATCTTTTAAAAATCTTCTTCTCAAGAACCATTGAGCCAGAAAAGTTTTTACTTAACAGAAACCTTCATTACATAGTGTAGATTCAAGTTTGTTCAAATCATAACCCCCGGGGGTAGGGTGGGGTCACAATGGGGGATCAAAGTTTTACATAGGAATATATAGGGAAAATCTTTAAAAATCTTCTTCTCAAGAACAACAAAGCCACAATAAGTCATATTGATATGGAATCATCTTCATGTAGTTTAGATTCAAATTTGTTCAAATCATGACCCCCGGGGTAGGGTGGAGCCACAATGGGGGATCAAAGTCTTACATAGGAATATAAAGGGAAAATCTTTAAAAAAATTTCTTCTCAAGAACAACAAAGCCACAATTAGTCATATTGATATGGAATCATTCTCAGGTAGTGTAGATTAAAGTTTGTTAAAATCATGATCGCTGGGGGTAGGGTGGGGCCACAATGAGGGATCAAAGTTTTAAATAGGAATATATAGAAAAAAAATCTTCTAATGTAGAACAACAGAGTACCGTCACAATTAGTCATATTGATATGGAATCATCCTCAGGTTGTGTAGATTCAAATTTGTTCAAATCATGAGCCCCGGGGGTAGGGTGGGGATACAATGGGGGATCAAATTTTTACATAGGAATATATAGGAAAATTCTTTAAAAATCTTCTTCTCAAGAACAACAAAGCCACAATTAGTCATATTGATATGGAATCATCCTCAGGTAGTGTAGATTCAAGTTTGTTCAAATCATAAACCCCGGGGATAGGGTGGGGCCACAATGGGGGATCAAAGTTTTACATAGGAATATATAGGGAAAATCTTTAAAAATCGTCTTCTCAAGAACAACAAAGCCACAATTAGTCATATTGATATGGAATCATCCTCAGGTAGTTAAGATTCAAGTTTGTTTAAATCATAACCCCCGGGGATAGGGTGGGGCCACAATGGGGGATCAAAGTTTTACATAGGAATATATAGGGAAAATCTTAAAAAAATCTTCTTCTCAAGAACATCAAAGCCACAATTAGTCATATTGATGTGGAATCATCTTCATGTAGTTTAGATTCAAATTTGTTCAAATCATGACCCCCGTGGGTAGGGTGGGGCTACAATAGAGGATCAAATTTTTACATAGGAATATATAGGAAAATTCTTTAAAAATCTTCTTCTCAAGAACAACAAAGCCACAATTAGTCATATTGATATGGAATCATCCTCAGGTAGTGTAGATTCAAGTTTGTAAAAATCATGACCCCTGGGGGTAGGGTGGGGCCACAATGAGGGATCAAAGTTTTATATAGGAATATAAAGAAAAAAATCTTCTTCTCAAGAACAGAGTCACAATTAGTCATATTGATATGGAATCATCCTCAGGTTGTGTAGATTCAAATTTGTTCAAATCATGAGCCCCGGGGTAAGGGTTGGGCTACAATGGGGGATCAAAGTTTTACATAGGAATATATAGGAAAATTCTTTAAAATCTTCTTCTCAAGAACAACAAAGCCAGAATTAGTCATATTGATATGGAATCATCCACAAATATTGTAGATTCAAGCTTGTTCAAGGCATCCTCAAGTAGAAGGGTGGGGCCATAATGGGGATCAAAGTTTTACAAAAGAACATATACAGGAAATGTCTTTAAAAATCTTCAATCTCAAGAACAACAAAGCCATGATCAGTCATATTGATATGGAAGCATCTTCAGGTAGTGTACATTCAAGTTTGTTCAAATCATGACCCCCCCCCCCCCCCCGGGTAGGATGTTAGACATATTTGAAACTCTGTTTTAAAGAACAGCAAAATCATGATTAGTTATATGAAGATAGAAGCATCCTCATCAGGTTTATATTCAATTTCATTCAAAACATGGCACCTTGGGGTAGAGTATGCCTAGAACAGGCAATCAAAGCTTTATATATGAATATATAGGAGAAGAAATCTGCTGACGAAGAACAGCAGGGCCGTATTGACTCAGGTGAGCGTTGTGGCCCATGGGCCTCTTGTTGTTGATTAATTTTTATTTTTCTGCAAATTATGGACGCCGACTTAGAGTTGGTTAAAATCAAGATCAAGTTTTATGTAATACAAGAAAACAATTTTTTACTCCAAGGCTATGTTAGTCATATTGATATTGAAGCATCCCCATACTGTGTGGATTAAGAGTTTCTGAAGAGTTAGAATTCGGGACGTAATATGGGAATTTTAAAAAAATCTCCTAAAAACAGCATGCAGTGCTAAAGTTACTCAGTCGAGCGTTGTGACCCATGGGCTTCTTGTTAAAGGTTGAGTGACCATTGTGAAGTAGACTGGGATGGAAGCTTTATTTGAAGTTGTACACTGTAATACTGGATTACAAATGTTTTAACCTAACAATATAATATTGCTATGTCAAAAAGTACCTGGAAATTGAACCAACATTATTTCAAATAATGTATATTTTACTTCTCATGATTTGATATTTTTTTAGTGTAAAAAAAAACTATGATTCTAAATTGTTCAAATCAATAGGGTTGGGAACACAATCCCTATTGTGTTCCCAACCCTATTGATTTGAACAATTTAGAATCTACCCTACCTTTGAAAAATTCTCATATGTTTTCATCTTTTCTAATCCAGTGGTTACAATATCTAGAAGAAGATTTTTATGCCCCGCCATGAATATGGCCGGGGCATATAGTGTTTGTCATGTCCGTCTTCCGTCCTTCCGTCCTTCTGTCCTTCCGTCCTTCCGTCTGTCCTTCCGTCACACTTTGCGTTTAGCTCTGTTCAAAGCTCAGTTTCAAAGAAACTATCCAAGATATTTTTATCAAACTTCATATGCTGATAGATATTGATGAGGGCTATGCAACTGCATCAACATTTTTTGACCTTGACCTTTCCTTTGACCTTGACCTCACTTTTCTTAAATTAGTGTTTAGCTCAGTTTTAAAGATACCATTCAAGATAGTGTAATCAAACTTCATATGTTGATACATACTGATGTAAGCTATTCAATTGCAGCAACATTTTTTTGACCTTGACCTTTATTTTGACCTTGACCTCACTTTTTTTAAATTAATGTTTAGCTCTGTTTTAATGAAACCATTCAAGATATTTATAACAAACTTCATATGCTGATACATACTGATGAGAGCTATTCAACTGCATCAATATTTTTTTACCTTGACCTTTCCTTTGACCTTGACCTCACTTTTCTTAAATAAGTTTTTAGCTCAGTTTTAAAGATACCATTCAAGATAGTGTTATCAAACTTCATATGCTGATACATACTGATGAGAGCTATTCAACTGCATCAACATTTTTTGACCTTGACCTTTCCTTTGACCTCACTTTTCTTAAATTAGTGTCAAACTTCATATGCTGATACATACTGATGAGAGCTATTCAACTGCATCAATATTTTTTGACCTTGACCTTTCCTTTGACCTTGACCTCACTTTTCTTAAATTAGTGTTTAGCTCAGTTTTAAAGAAACCATTCATAATATTTTGATCAGACTTCATATGCTAATACATACTGATGTAACCTTTTCAACTGCATCAACATTTTTTGACCTTGACCTTTCCTTTGACCTTGACCTCACTTTTCTTAAATTAGTGTCAAACTTCATATGCTGTTACATACTGATGAGAGCTATTCAACTGCATCAATATTTTTTGACCTTGACCTTTCCTTTGACCTTGACCTCACTTTTCTTAAATTAGTGTTTAGCTCAGTTTTAAAGAAACCATTCATAATATTTTCATCAAACTTCATATGCTAATACATACTGATGTAACCTTTTCAACTACATCAACATTTTTTGATCTTGACCTTTCCTTTGATCTTGACCTCACTTTTCTTAAATTAGTTTCTGAATCAAACGTCATATGCTGATACATACTGATGTAAGCTATTCAACTGCAGCAATATTTTTTGACCTTGACCTTTCCTTTGACCTTGACCTCACTTTTCTTAATTTGTGTTAAAATGTTGCATTACTAATATACCCTTGGCGGGGCATTCATGTCCTATGGACATATTTCTAGTTTAAAGATGTTTCCCTATATATTTCATATACAACTTTGATCCCCTATTGTGGCCCAACCTATTCCCGGGGAAGGTGAGCTTTCTGAATGTACATTACCTTAAGAGATTTCAGATTGATTTCATCTTTTCTGGTACAGTGGTTCTTCAGAAATTTTTAGAAAGATTTTCGCATATATTTCATTTTAAAACTTTGACTCCCTATTGTGGACCCACCCTACCCCTGGGAGACACGATTCGAACAATTTAGAATCTACACTATCATAGAAATCTTCCACTTAAGTGTCAACGTTTCTGGCCCTGTGGTTTTAGAGAAAATATTTTAATGACCTCACTATAATTTTGCCTTTTCTCGATTATCTCCCCTTTGGAGGGGCCATGGCTCTTCATTTGAACAATCCCTTTGCCAACTTTGGTTAAAATTTGCCCAGTGGCTATTGAGAAGTCCAAAATTTGAAAAGTTTATAGACGGACAGACGGACGGACGGAGGCCGGACAACTGGTGACCAGAAAAACTCACTTGAATTTTCATCTCAGGTGAGCTTAAAACTTCATCATGGTTATCAGCCTCCGGGTCATAAAACTTTAATGAGCTCACTTTTGATCTTAGTCTCACTTTTCTATTAATTCCTATTGTAAAAGTGAGATTGAGATTAAAAAGTGAGCTTTCTAAGTTTTATGGCCCGGAGCCAGGATTTTTTGTTGCTGACCTTCTTCGTGCTAGAAACAAATTGATAAGAGTATTTTCATCTCCACAGGTAATTCTCATGTTGATGATCATCGTATTTTTCTTTGCCATTTGCTGGGGACCAATTCTTCTAAATAATCTTCTCGTCGCCGCAAACGTCATAAGTGAACTCAACACGGGGTTCCTGAAGCCGATGAGAATGACATTTCACCTGATGTCATACGCTAACAGTTGTGTGAACCCTATAGTATACGGAATCATGTCCAAAAACTTTAAGGACCGCTTGCGGAAGACTTTTTCGAGACGGATTACGAGGAACCAGAGTTTAACAGCAAGCTCATTTCCAAGTAGAAGCTCTACCGTGAGAAATCAACACACCAATTATCAAAATTTAAAAGAGAGATCGGCACTGTAGATAAAGATGTGAGAAATCTCATAATTCCCACAAACGATGGAAATTTTATTGCTGTCATGTCAATGCGTTGATTAAATTTTGCTAAAACATTGTTTTTTAGCCTGTTTTAAAAAGTTGCAAAGAAGACAATATTTTCTACTGAATTTTTTTTCTTATCGATTTTACCTGCGATAAAAATTACAAATAAAATTTATTGGTATTGCTTTTTGTGTTGATTTTGTTCTTATGTCACCACGGAAAATGCCGGGGCCGGGATGTTATTGTTCCACCTGGTTTTCTTTGCAGGAGTTTTGGTGAGGATAATCTTAATAGGACAGCCTTAATAGTTGTGCTTGCAACATTTAAAAAGGCCTCCGTTGCAATAGAAATAGAACATTTGAGCTTGCAATAAAAAGGCCTCCGTTGCAATAGAAATAGAACATTTGAGCTTGCAATAGAAATAGAACATATGTGCTTGCAATAGCCAAAGTTTCGATCAGAACAGATGAACTGCAAAACAAAGTACTAAATATAATCATGAATTAGACTTTGTCTATTACTTAAATTATTTTACAATTTTTTCCAAATGTTTTAAATATTTTCAAATGGAAATGGATACCCAGTCCAGAAAATGAGACACTCGAACACACACACACTGGGATACTCTCCATTACAAGTGTTGATTCCCCAAGACATGATTCCTGCCAGCTTAAAAACCCCGTCCTTCATACAGACATACGGACCACCAATGTCGCCCTGTGGATTAAGTAGAAAAGATAATTCAGTGACAAAACATAGAGATTAATAATTTATTAAAAAAATTATAACGCAATGTGCCTGAACTTTAATGGCATCCCAGGAGAAATCTGCTGGCATGGGCAACAAATTTCATGACGTTGTATTGTAGCATTTATAGTTCAGAAATTGATAAAAAAAAAAATAATAATAAAAACTTACACTACAAGATAATTTCCCCTATTCAAAGGTACAGAGGTGGGAGTCCAGAATGGTGACGCCATTTATACTGGTCCACTGGTTCACGCACTGGGTGTTCCTTATGTTTGTCACCTGGGCCTCCATCAAAGCGTCGGAATTACTGCTACCCAAAAGTTCAGAAAAGAGTTGTAGAGGGTGTTAATGTATATCAAAGTGTACTTATATTTTCTGGAGGATATTACATCGACGTGCAATGTGTTCTCGAGGGTATATCTTCAGTAAATTCAATCCAACTTTGCCTTTATTGCATTCATAAAACTCTTCAAGAAAATTTTGTCTGATGACAAAGTCTGTTGAATATGGAAACAAAGAATCAATAATCCATTTAAATTAAATACGGATAACTTTGCACTATTTTAGCTCACTTGAGCCGAAGGTTATAACCAAAAAAATTTGAATTGAATTTGAATAATTTTCAATTCGCCCAGAATTACTAGCAGACGGCACTCAAGTCTGCCATTTTATTTAGTCGATTCCACAATCCTGGTTAGAAGTAAACATCGGACAAAAGGACTCTAAGAAGATTTAGAAAATCAGAAAATTTGCAGAAATGTTTTTCAGATATTATATTTAATTGGAAGAGAATTTGAAGACAGCGCCAAATTTGAAACTTTATTAAGTGATTACACATTTTGAAGTCCATTAACCTCTGCTACTGACCAATCAGAGTGAGCAAATAAAATAGATAATGCGAGACAATATTACAAGTCGGTAATAAATTCAGCCTAATATCAACTCCAAAGCGGAGACCAGTCTGTAACTCTGTTATCTTATGTGCAGACATTTCGTTGGGACTAAAACTGGCTTTTTTTTTCTGTTAAAGATTAAGTTTCAGGTTAGATAAAATAATGTTTTTGATTGGTTCATGCTATCTTTTATGAGGCCAATCAGAGAGCACATTTCCAACCCCGTCAAACTCAGTCTATTCGGTCAAGGGTTTATATGGAGCCCAGTAGATCAGAAACCTTTGACCTGGGAAGATAGACGTGATTCGGTGTAATAAATGTTTGGAAAATACGAAGATTTATTCAGCCCCTCCCCCCCCCCCCCCCAAAAAAAAAAACCTTACGCAAATGACTATGGTGTTTGACTTAGAATTGAAGTTTTCGATGTCATTACTATTGATGTTAATTTGTAAAGATAAAACTTCGTTTTATTTTTGTTGCTGTATTTAGCGCGTTTATATTATCTCAAAAGTGGTTGAGAGTAAGTACTATATTTTTACAAGTAACATCAAATTTGGCGGTTGTGGGGTCGACACTTCCTGCCTGAACAGGCTGACAATAGCCGGAAATTGCTCTTTGAGCAATAAGTCCGGCTAAAAAATCATATTCCAGTGGGATGAGCCCTCGATCGGGGAATGAATATCTTGGCTGAATAATTCTTCATAAATTATCTCCCTCACGATCATGCAATAAAGGTACATGCATAATATTTGTTTCTGAGAATAAGGAAACTGACACTTATGCCGACACTTTTTTCGTGTTTAACTTATTTGTTAAAAATCTACTCCACTCATTATTGAGACAAAATTATTTGAGATTTAGTTGTTTTAAATAAAAGATAATAAAGGATATACCGGTATTCATCCATTCTGACATAAAACCCTCTTTTCAACTGCAAGACTTCTAGATTTCATGATGGTAAATATCTGAAGTCTTACTCCCAGCTGTTTTTCCCCATCCTGTCATCCTGCAGTCAGCGATGTTAGAGAAATCCTCCGTCTTACTGGACGGTAAATTGGCGAGCTGAATGGACCCGCCCACGAGAAATGGTGTCTGTAGCTCCACCAGGGTTACATCGTTAGGTAATCCTGGTGAACTGCCAGCAAACTGGGGATGCTAAAAAAGTAGTTTCCGTCAACTTGTGAGATACTGAGTCTTTTTAAGCATATCCGATCCTCAGCCAGGAAGGATAATGGTTACTCTTAAAATTATTATTTAATTAAAAAAGTCTCAAAAAAAAGCTTGAAATTGAAATCTTTTCCTGCAACAATTTTCATTTTATGCATCTCAATATGAGAAAAAGTTCTTTGAAGTCTTAGAAACAGTGTAGTTAGAAGTTGACATTTTTACCCCATAAAAGAACAAGAGGGCCATGGGCCACAACGCTCACCTGAGTCAATATGGCCCTGCTGTTCTTCGTCAGCAGATTTCTTCTCCTATATATTCATATGTAAAGCTTTGATCTCCTGTTCTAGGCATACCCTACCCCCAGGTGCCATGTTTTGAATAAAATTGAATCTAAACTTTCTGAGGATGCTTCTATATTCATATAGCAATCAGGGCTTTGCTGTTCTTGAAAACGGAATTTTAAAGAGTCTGCCACCCATCATTTGGACAAACTTGAATGTACACTACCTGAGGATGCTTCCGTATCAATATGACTAATCATGGCTTTGTTGTTCTTGAGAATAAGATTTTTAAAGATATTTTCTATATATATTCTATTGTAAAACTTTTATCCCCTATTATGGCCCCACCCTACTACTGGAGAATGCTTTGAACAGACTTGAATCTACAATACTTGGGAATGCTTCCATATCAATATGACTGACTGTGGCTTTGTTATTCTTGAGAAGATTTTTTCCTACATACTCCTATTTAAAACTTTGATCCCCCATTGTGGCTTCACCCTACCCCCGGGGGTCATGATTTGAACAAATTTGGATCTACACTACCTGAAGATGATTCCATATCAATATGACAGACTGTGGCTTTGTTGTTCTTGAAAATAAGTCTTTTAAAGATATTTCCTATCTATGTTCTTTTGTAAAACTTTGATCCCCCATTATGACCCCGACCTACTACTGGAGGATGCCTTGAACAAACTTGAATCTACAATACTTGGGGATGCTTCCATATCAATATGACTGACTGTGGCTTTGTTCTCGAAAAAAAATTTTCCTACATATTCCTATGTAATACTTTGATCCCCCATTGTGGCTCCACACTACACCCGGGGGTCATGATTTGAACAAATTTAAGGTTCTAAATATAGGGAACCTCGATCCTTCAACTGGCGTCGGAATTTTATAAATATTATGGATTCTGTAGAGGATTACGCCAGGCGATGGGCCAGACATGAAAAAGAAGACCTTGACACTTTGTCAGAATGGATTAAATATATCAGATGTATGTTAAAATCGCGCATTAAAAGATCGAGGGGGAATATGAGAACCATCTATCCTTCTGTATTCAATAATCCAGAAGTGAAGAAAGAATTAGATAGATAACATGATCAGTACGTACTTGTCCCTGCTAACAAAGCAGGTAACAACATTGTTTTGTAAGGCTCATTATATTAAATGTATTTTAGAGGAACTTGGATTTAATTCTACAAGTGGTAATCCAACTTTTACTTATAGTTCCTTTTCTGAGGAAGACATTCTTCGAAATCATGTGTCAGTTTGAATATTTTTAATATTCCAAACAACCAAAATGAATTTGAATTACTATATTTATATTGGATTCCGAAACTTCATAAAAATCCTTTCAAACAAAGATAGCGGGTTCCAGTAAGTGTTCATCCAAGCCTCTTTCTTTACTCCTCACTAAGATATTAACAGTAGTGGAGGAGAAACTTCAAGAGTACTGTGCAACAATATATTCAAGAAGTGGTGTAAATCAGATGTGGATACTTGAAAATTCCAAGGAACTTTTGGAAAATTTGAAATCACAAGATTTTACCAAAATCAACAGCTTAAAAACGTACGACTTTTCATCTTTATACACAACCATTCCCCACGATAAATTAAAGTCCAGGCTTTTTGATATCATTGACAGCTGCTTTTTCAATAAAAATGGAATTCGTAAATTCACTTAGCTTGTCATTGGTCATTTGCAAAATTATTTTGTTAAAAACCATTCTGATTGTACACACAAGTACTCTGAAGTTGACATCAAAAAGATGCTTGAGTTTCTGATTGACAATATCTATGTGGTATTTGGAGACCAGGTCTTCCAACAATCTATTGGAATTCCCATGGGTACCAATTGCGCCCCGTTAGTAACAGACCTTTTTTTGTATTAATATATGAAGTAGAATTTGTCTTATACGTGAAAAGAAGAAAACACTTGTTGTGGCCTTCAACTCGACATTTAGATATATCGACGACGTATTGTCAATTAACAATAGCTATTTCCATTCTTATGTCGATACGATATATCCCGGTGAGATTGAGATAA